AATAGGTAATGCGTTGTTTCAGATAGTAGTTCTTATTGACTCACCCTGTACGTATATAACTATTTTGAAATAATATAATGTACCTTAATGCATGGTAAAATTATTATTTCCAATATATCTTTAAAATGTAAATAGTAAGTTATTAAGGTTTAGGTATTATACGAAACTTTATATTTTACTTTGTATTTTTATTAATTCATGCCCACGTCTGATAATCGGGAAAACCGCAACCATGGTGCAATAGAGCGAGTACAAGAGATTGGAAAACAGAAAACATCGAGCTCGAAGACCGAGGTGTTTATAGGTAATAAAATATGTGGTTCATTCGTTTTCGATCGCAGTTCAGTGTGAGAATCGTGGTGCGACAAAGGACAGAAGAAAATTTTGTATCCCAGACTGCAAAAGGTGACGCATTCGCAGACATGAAAAACCGCCAGTGCCGAAGCTAAGCTGTACAGAATTGTTCACATTCAGCTCAAGGAAGCTCCGATCTCGTTGCGTGTTCGTTTAGGCGTATGTAGTGAGAATTTTCCGAAAAATTCTGTATTCCGTTCAAGCTATCCGAGTATTGAAAAAATAAAGAGTTAAGAGGAGACAAAAGAAACGTAGGTGTATATGGGTGTACAAGGTGCAACAGGGTGTTCACAAATTTATGGTGGTATCATTCTACGCATATTGCACGCACTTCTTAAAATATCGCTGTAATATACAAGGTGTCCCATTTGAACTCCAAAAATGTTTCCCAGCAGAACTTACATTGTTCCAAGGGGGACATCTTATAATGGTCACACATCTTACCTAGGTGTAGGTGCTTCCGAGCTTTCAAGGTGACCTTTGGTTTTTTCAATAGACTTATATAGTTTCATTTAAGTTGGCGTGTAACTCTTTCCGTGATGAATTCATTGATCTAAATTTGTTGGTACTCAAGATCATTTAAGGTCATTTATTACCGTTCAAAACTTACACAAGTACTACATAATTGCCCAGATAGCATACGAGGCCTTGAAGACCTCAATTTTACGGCTACTTCAGATCTAAGGCACCTTTAAGCCGTCATCAACGCGTCATTGGGCGTCATGTGCTATCTGGGTAACGATGTTTACTACTGAATCGACGAAATATATACTCCGGTAAAAGAAATTTTTGGATGTTTAACAGATGTAATGTTTGAACGGCAAGAAATGAGCTTAAATGTCCTTGAATGACCTTGAATGACCTTGAATGACCTTGGATGACCTTGTATGGCTTTGAATGACCTTGGAAAGCTAGCATATTTAGGTCAATTAATTTGTCATGTAAGAAGCTACACATCTACCTAAATAAAAACATACAGGTCAATAAAAAAAAACAAAGATCACCTTCAAATCGTGCGGGCACGACCATCTAGATAAGATTTGAGTCCATCACAAGATGTTCCCCTCAAAACAAATTAAATTCTACTTGAAATATTTTTTGAAGTAACGAGCAGTTCGGAAGATGATTGTGTGTAAATGTTGAAACGGGACACTCTGTATACTACATATCATTGTGTTCTCTAATCTTTTCTCTTCAGTGTAAAAGAGAATCGTAGACATTTAGGTAGTCGAACCTGTGTATGATTGATTTGAAAATGGAAGAATAGGAAGTGCATTGCCGACACTTGTGTCTTTATTTTTTTCGAAAGGGCAAAAATGTTCCTCAAACTCAAAAAAGGATTTCTGTGTAGCGTATGGGAAACCATGCTATGAGTGATCGTCCATATCCAAAAAAAGTTTAGAAAATTTATAAAACAGGAAATTTGACTGTGGAATGTGCACCACAATCAGGTAGACCGTTCGCTATTGAAAGTGATCTTTTCGAATTAGTGGTGGACACATTATTGACTAAACGGCAGAATAAATGTTTATTTAACTTTGGTTCAACCCAATACATACTTGACTTCCAACCTACTCTATGTATGCATTTATAGATACTAATAGTTTAAAATATTTCAATATTTTTCTGTTTAGAAATCAAAAAAATTTTAATTATCGTTAAAATGTAAAGATAATAAATTTGTATAGCTTCAATTGTAATAGCAAGAAATGATGACAAGAGAATAGTCATTTTCTAACGGATAAGTTGAGAAATGCTTGCTCACTAAGTAGGGTTTAAGGATCATGTTTCGAATCATATTATTGCTGTGAGTATCAATAATTATTTTATTTTTTAATGTGATCAATACAGAAAGCTAAGTTTCCTACTACAAGGTTCGTATGTTAAGTTTGGTTGTATTAATAATCACTCAGAATTAATGTTCAGTTTATATTACTGTATATTATGTTCTTACTGACAATTAACCCTGGAACAGTACGTGTGTGATAACATGAAACAAATAAATGGAGTTTTCAATATTTACTATTATCATAGATTATATTATTTATGTAATTATCAGAAATTCATCTGGACCTTGAAGAACAGTCCATTGCTGCATCGAATGTTTTATATTCAGCAAAATGTATTCTTGAAATTACAATAGTAATTTCTTTCCCTTAGGGTGCACAATGCCCTAGGATAATAATCGTCGTTTCGCAGAGAAAGTAGCGTGTTTCTTCAGAATTAATACTTATATTGTTGTCGTAAAGATAGATAGTGTGGGTATTTGTGTTCTACAACTTAAAGATTATGAGTTTCTTTTTTAATTCACAGTGTTACTACCATTATTTGATTAACTTTTTCACGTGGGCAAGTGCGTAGAATTTTTATAAAAAATTTGTGAACATTTTTTAGTTTACAATTTATGTTTTGAGCATAGACTATGTTTTTTTTAAATAAAATAAGTCAATATGTGTTTAGACTAGACATATCATGATTCAGTGCGCAATGAAGTAAATAAAAAGCAATCAATATTACAGAGATTCGAGTCAGGCTCTGACAGTTTAGGTATGACGATAAAGTCAGTCGAATCTGCAGAATCCGTTCGTTACAAAATTTTACTGCGTAAGTACCTTGGAGGTAACGATACAGTGAGGTACAGGTCCCAAAACTGACATCATGAAGTCGGAAAATTGGTTGGGAATCGAAGTTTACGTGTTCTGAGCGTCGTAACAGCAATTAGAGGGTATGAAAAACTATGCGTCTTAATCCTTTAACAGCTGCAGGTGAAGTTTTATTAGTATGGCAAGTATTAACGAGCAAGGGGCGGTGAGCACATAGTACAGTAAATCCTTGATAAGTGTTCGAAGGGTTCTTGGCAAAATTTCAGGCTCTACCACTGTGCTAAATCTTGTTAACAAGTTAGCGTTACACCTGGAGATATCTCTTTGTCAGTGCTAAGGAGCCTTCGAACATTTATCGAGGATTTACTGTACTGATATTCCTTGCATTACGAATATCTTGAAGAGTGCAACTTCTAGAATTACTGAATTATTAATAATTTCCCAGATACATAGGAATTCTATTCTTATCGCAAGCGCATATATACTCTAAATGTTCAATATTAATACCAGCAAAACAGTACATACTTCGATTTATAGAAAACGAATAATGTTCGTGTTTATTAAATCCGCTCAGTAAATCGCCAACATGTGTCTGATTCGATGTTATAAAGCAAGGGGTTAATGAAAGACCGTGAACAGAAATATTTTTGAAATATCAATTCATAAATGACTTTTGTAGGTTGTTATTTCAAGGTACTACTTCTATGTATAAGACGCGTACGGCCCTGGCTGTGGTTACATCTACCCGTGGTTCCCACTTAATTTATGATCTCACTATACAGGATGTTCAAAAAAAGGGTCTTTAGGTGTTTATAGTGCTCATCGAGTGGAGTAAAAAATATCTAATCAAGATAGGTACTAAAATCAGTCCTTTCAAACAAAATTATTAAAGTTTGTTTTCGCATTTGTTACAGATGGTTCACATGTCTTCCTTTCATTTTAACACAAAATTCATATTTGTGGATCAGAGATCGAAGTATATTTTCCGATATTCTTTCCGTATCTCGTATTGCCTGTTGCCATATAGCCTTGAACTGATATGTTTCTAAGTTAATTCATCTGTTTACATTTAATATGCTATGAAACGAATTACTGAAATGATTCACATACGATATTGAACGCTCGTAAATATAAAAGTTGATTTTACATCGAAAGGGTTTATTTTAGGATTTATGTAAATTAGAACTTTTTTCCTCTACTCGGTGACTACTATTAACCCCTAATGTTTTAGACCCTTTTTTTAAACACCCTGTATAGGTTCCAGGACTTGCAGTAAAGGCCACAAATAGCTGCTTTTGTCGGTCCGACTAACACGGGCTAATTGTAAGATCCTTGTTTTAGAAGTGTTTACGAAAAAAAAGAACTAAAAAGTAACTTAAAAGGAAGGTACCTTGCACTACAATGAGCGATATGTCAGGTTCCTACTGTCACGATCCACTTTTTTCACCGAACCCAAACTTGTCTTTATGGATCCATTGAGTTTGCTACCACCCTACACCATTACCTCCAAGTATACCAGACTGTGTGTCGCCCACGAAAATGATATTAAAGTTTCGCCATCTTCTTGCTGAGCAAGAGTTATCAGTTTTTTTAATTCAAATTTTAATATGTACAATATTACAATGTTCGTGGCCAAAATTACTGTAATTATCGTTTACCTAAAGTAAATTTGGCTAAATCATTTTTTGTAAGATTAACTTCCTCATACCCAGTGCACGTTATACTGTACAATAATTTTAACATCGTTTTTGATGTTCACAAAAAAAGTCATGTCTCAAGAGGTTAACGAAATATATTTTTCGACAAACATAGCTTACACTCAAAAGGGCATCAACAACAGGGGTAAGAACCCTGGGCCAGAAATGCCTCCAGGGTCTCTATCGAGGATTTTATCTTGTTTTCGTTCGCAAAGTTGCAGCGAAGAAGTACTTTGAGATAGAAACAAAAAGAAACCTTCACAGAGCAGTACACAGAGGTAACAAATTCATAGGATAACTCGTCGAATTGTCGTGTTCGGTTTGCTTGTAATCCCGGAAAACGTACCTGCGGTTCCTCTATTGCACACGTCATTCGCGTATTGCCTCCTGCACATATCTAATCTGCAACGCAACAACAAAAGTTCCACTTTATCCATGGTAGATTCACAATCTGCTTAACTTGCAGCCATGTCACGGGACAATCGACGACACGTGCCGCTCTTATATTAACAGCAAGAGTCCTTTGTGTTAGATAGGAGTGAACAAAATGTAAAAGAAAATCGAATGAAAATAAATATTTATAAGAGGTCCCGATAAAAGTAAATTCTGTAGCAAAGATTTAGGGACGATCTTTTCCGTGGACAGACACGCGTTTCAGTTGGTCTTAGATAGGCGTTAATGGTATACAGTATAAGCCAAAAGTATACATATATTACCTTTAGATTTTGTGAGTATAACTTCGTTCAGAGTGCACGAGTCCCGATCAAATCATGATACATTTTGATGGTGGGTACAACTTATTAAATACAGTAAATCCTCGATGAGTGTTCGAAGGCTCCTCGGCATTAAACATTAAATATTCCATAAACTAATGGCCATATATTGCTGAAACAAATACCATTGGCTTCAGAATTCCAAGATCTCATTAAAAAATCAGCGTTACACCTGGGGACTTCTCCTTGTCAATGCTGAGCAGTCTTCGAAAACTCATTGAGGATTTACTGTAAATGACTTGTCATTAGGTTATGAAAGCAGGAATTCATAAAAAATTAATTTTATTTAGAATCTACGACATAAGTGAAACTTGAGTGGTGAACTTCGAGTCACCGTAACAAGCTCAAACACTAAGAAAATGAAAACGGGTCCATATTTTCGATTTCATCAGGTTCGGTATTTTGTAGTCAAAACCTTGGCATATATCACAGAGTTGGTTACTATTACTCTAAGAGCGACAGAATACACGAAATACAAACAACTACAGGGTACTCTAAAGACCAAGAAAGCACAAAGGTTACCAACATACGATTTTGCGAAAATCAATAAATAGCTTCAACAATCTTGGTATACTTTATCGAATCCCAATACACACCACGTATATAGGGGTGGCTCTTATTTTCAACTTTCGAATTTTTTTGCGCCACCCTCTAAAATAGTCCAGTTAATATAAAAACAATACGTGTGAGCTCGATTGCATAAGGGGAAAAGGTGCCCCAGAGTCCTTAAACATGCAAATGTACTAAAGGCTCCATGAGAGTTGGATACAAAGTTTCTGGTGAAAGTTTCTCCTGCATCTGCCCTCTCGCTTTTGTTGCCGAGGCTCAGGCTTCGGGAAAAAAAATAAATTTGTAAGGTGTTTTGAAACCATCCGCGGTGCACCGTGAAAGATTTGAAGCGTTCCCGAGTTTTAAATTTTTGTGGAATCCCTACTGCAATTATTTAACACACACACAAAGTTCATATCACTCGATTATCCTCCAAGCTATTGATTATATAAAAAAAAAACACGCCAAACAAAGTATATAGACCTAGGCAAGCAGAATCTTTTATGTTGTACTACTTTTTTTGTACAACAAACGGTTTTAAAAGAAAATATAAAAAAGCTAGAAAATTTGTTTCATTTTTCTTTAATTCTGGAAATCGAAATCAAGAGTAAATAAGAACCACACTAATGTACATAGTGCACATATCACTTGGTGTTTACTGCGTAATTTTCATCGTCTTCGATTAATTTTTATAAATCTAGCGCTCAAAAAACCTAAAGGTGGTGTACACTTCTGGTTGATATTGTATGTGTATTCGTTCTCGAGAATCGACGTTAACTTCTAGTTCGGTTGACAACTAAGCAAATACCGTGAAGCAAAATTGAACGTTGTGTAAGGAAGTGTTAACTTTCCGCTATGATCTTGTAAACGCGAGAGATGATAGCGTAGAATTACGGTAAAGCAGACACACAGCGCGCGGAAATGTGTACACAAGTGTCATTTGGCGATAAAATGTTGCGTCTTTGGCACAAGTAATTACAAATAAATCGCCACACGCAATGGCGATATGCATATATGTATACAGGGTGATTCACCAGAAACAGAACACTTAAATATCTCTGTCAGCATTGAAGATAGAAGAAAATGTTAAAAAGGAAAGTGGTACTGTTCAAGAGGGCAAATATAATGATATAAACAAACTTTTCGTTTAATGATATTTTCATGGTTATTTAAAGGTTTTTTTTAATAGCATTATGTAGTTTTAACTTCACAGTGTTGTAGTTGGATAACCTTCAAATGACCTTAGATTCAGAAATCTGGTTTCAAACAACGGAAACATTAACGTGTGCAACTTGGTTTCTCAAGCCATCAGGTTTCATTCGCGACTGACTGAAATTTGAACTGACTGGAACATTTGAAATCGAAACAATATTTTGTAGTCTTACAAAAGAATTAAATGTTTGTATAATTACGAACGGTCATCGCTATGAACGTTTAATTTGATCTAAATAAAATAATTTTGCATATTATTGTCTCTCTTGATTGAATCCAGTTTTCTGGATTCAAGGTCATTTCAAGGTCATACAAGTATACTAGGCTTTGAACTAGTCTTGATGTTAGCTACAACGCATTGAAGTTAAAACTGTATGCTTCCATTTAAAAATAACATCGATGATTTTCAAATAATAATGAAAATAACGTCAAATGAAAAGTTCGTCTATACCATCCTATTTGCCCTCTTGAATAGTACTCTTTTCTTCTATAACATTTTCTCCTATCTTCAATAGTAACAGAGATATTTAGGTAGTTTGTTTCTCGTGAATCACCCTGTGTATATCTCTGAAATCGTATAAAAGAATTTTATTCGGTCGAGGGGATGAAATGATATACGGTACACATGGAATAGGGAAGATCGAACGTTCACAATTACGATGCCTTAGAAGGAATCACGCTTTCGTCTTGCAAAACAACGAACGTGGAGTTTTGTTATTTACGTGGTTCATTTCTGGAATTTTTGTCTCAGTGCTGTGAACAACGATCACTTGGTTCTTGACATTATCACGCGCCCCGTTCGTTATTATTATTTGTATTAGTTTACCATTACCCTTTTAATTTGATTTAGTTCTTCACAAATTATAAGACCGCTGAGTACGTAATAAAGCCCTTTTTCTCTGCTTTGAGGCGGGTAGTTCATCAAACAATGATAAGTCCACACTAGACACCGTATTTACGGATGTGGTGAACTGGATCTGTCAAAAGGATATGCTTTCTCGTGACTCATGTGATTGAGACTTCCGAAATTCCGAAGATTTCATTTTACTATACTGGATTTAATAAATTATTAAAGAAAAAAATAGTTGCGTGTATGAAGAATACGTTGGAGCTACATATATGTATAAATTATAGATACACGTATTTACATTCTGTTATACAGGGTGAGTCATTTAAATCGAACCTCGCGAATATCTTCGAAACTATTAATATCGAAAAATGTTTCAGACAAAAGTTGAATGGTTTCGACGGAAAAATAATTTTTTGCGAGTAGTCTTTTTGTAAGTGAACTCATACAGGGAATATGAAAATCAAACTTGTTTTTTGAAATGAAATTATATTTTTTTTAATGCATTAGTCGACGCAGCTAATCATTTCCTATAAAAAAAGTGTTAAGATATTTATGCCGAAAAACCATTAGTTTAAGAGATATTTTAATTTCAATATTGTGAACTGTTTATCTTTTATCTTAAACAAATTATAAATTTATCTTCGTAAAGTTGATGTCAAAATTACGTCCTTCAGCCTGAATAAGGAGATTTACACGGTCTCTAAATCACTTGTTAACCCTTTCTAGCATTTTTTTCCAAATTTGTTGATATGTCATACGTACTAGCCATACCGAGATTGAATGCAACTTTGTAATATTGAGATTCAAATATCTCCAAACTAATGGTTTTTCGACCTCGATAGCTTAATACTTTTTTTACATAGAATGGCAACTGCACCGATTAGTGCATTAAAAAAAACATACGATTCTATTTAAAAAAATTGTTCACGTCAAGTGATTTCTCTCTTGAAATCATTCAACTTTTATTTGTAACATTTTTCGGTACCACCAATGGTTTCGAAGATATTCGCTGAGATCGACAAAAATGGTCTCACCCAGAACATGTACGTATCTGTACGCGTTTATAAGAAGCTCCTAAATATTAGACTATTAATTTGTAACGGCTTATAAATATTGTTAGCTGTGTAGTGAAGCTTGCTTTTTATGATAGTTTAGTATTAACTGTATAAGTAAATAAAATATTATTAAGAGATAATATCGTACCATCATCAATGTCAAAAGTAGAAACAATATACATATCATAGACAGAGTATCAATTGTATTGGAAAGGACGCAAGTTTGATAAATATTAAAAACTGATATTTTTGAAAACGAAGCCCTGTACCAGAGAATGTTATACTACATTGTAGAATCATTATACGGGGTGGGCTGGAAATCGTAGTACAACCGGCCCAGGGGTGATTCTACGTTAAAAAAGAAGAAAATATTTTGGTATAACATTTTCTAATTCGAAGCTCCGTGTTCGAGAAAATCGATTTTAAAGTTCGTTCAATTTCTAAACGATTTATTACAATTTGCTTGTCGTGTATTCCACTACTGCGGTTGTCTCTGGCCAGGACAGTGTTTATAAACATTGATGATTGTGTCGATAAAACAGTACAAAGTGTTTCTACCGATTACTAATTTCTTACTCTTTTTTACTACTAATACACGACAAGCAAATTGTATTAAATCGTTTAGAAGTTGAACAAATTTTAAAGTCGATTTTCTCGAAAACGGAGTCCTGGATGAGAAAATATTATACCAAGATATTTTCTTCTTTTTTAACAAAGAATCATCCCTGCCCAGTTGTACTACGATTTTCAGCCCACCCTGTACGTATAAAAAGATATGGTGATTTCAAAGCATCCCTGGAAGATTTTCGATTAGAATCCAAAACATTTTCGACCGTTAAAGAACCATAAAACCATAATGTTTTTGACATAACCACGTTTAAAATTTTTTCCTCGATTTTCAATAACAATAACGATAAAATTTCTGTATGTTATAAGTACTGCAAAGTTTGGTTATCTTTATGACTTTCTACGAAAGTTCTTTAAGATTCTATGTAATAACTTCAAATTTACTTATTTATACATTCACAGTTTTTTCTTTTAATATTCTAGTTTAAAATTAAAAATTATACATATTTATATTTACCTGTACATTCAGAAAATATTTGCTACAATTTATATCGCATGGCCGGTACAAAGTCATGTAAATTTCAAGCACACATTGTTCTCGAAATGTTGAATATTTCTTTTCACGAGAAAGGATATCACTTTCGAATCGTTCACCCCTATAAAATCCCATGCCCATCAAAATACGCTGTCGCAGCACCGTCAAAGCCAACGCTACATTTAGTCTAGTGTAAACAATGTACAACATTAATAGTAAAAGATAAAAAAAATTGTTACAAGAAAAAATAATATAAGTTGAAAAAGAAAGCGTGATCGCTATATAATAAACCATACCGGCAGTTCCCTTAGTGCAGCGGCCGCCTTTCCTACGACGGCACATATCATACCTGTTTTACGAAATAAAAATCAAACAGTATGAAATCACCGGATAGTTATCGAACAATATAACATAATGTAGAGGGCCATAGAATTGTATTCATGTTTCGTTCGCGAATACTCTATCGTGGAGTGGCGAGTTTGTTCAAATTGAAATCTGCTGATTCGATTTCTAATGCTGTTCTCTAATCGCGAAATTTCCAATCACGCCTGATAAATTACAATAAATATCAACGAACAAGGTGGATATAAGTGTGAAATTTTTTTCATGAATTTCCGTGTCACGTCGTAAATTAACGTCGAGTTTCTATAGAAACAAACAGAGCACTCTTACTTCGTGACGGCGACAGCTATGTCGTAAACCGGAAGTCTTCTCTCCCGGAAGAGGTATTTGCCCATGTCTGTTAGCGCAGCCGCCGAATCAATCGCGTCTCGTCCCACGCGATTCCTTTCCAAATACGGCGTGGCGTCCCGACCCTGAAATAAATCATAGGAGAATCATCGCCTGACACAGAATCGGCGCTACTTGTGATTCGATAGTCGGTTCTATTAATTTATACGTTACTCGTGAGATAATGATTCCTGCGATACTGATACGGATCTTTGGCCCCTTCAACAGCTTGTACCTTAAATCTACCCCGTTCCAGAAAGACACAAAGTACCTTTTGATCTGTACATTATCACCGCCATGCAACCTGTAAAAGAACGTGCAGCTGTTTATATTTCTTTTTGACAGAATGTAATTCACTTTTTTTTACGAATAACTCCGTCTCAGATTGCAAATAACGCATTGAAGACGGTTTTAAGGCGTCTCACACCTAAAATAGCCGTAAAATGGTTGTCTACAAGGCGTCATATGTTATCTGGGGTACATTACATAGGGGAATAGTCAACCTGTTGCCAGGAATTTAAGAACTGATTTTGAGTAATTTAGTGCTCCTGATACTAAATATGCCATTATTTTTTATTATCGGCTCTCGATTTTGAGATATGCATATGGCTTAAATATTTATGCAAGATCAGGAAAAAAATGAAACATAGCAGTTACTATGATTCTGAATTAACTTTATTTACAAAATACTACAAGAAGGGACAGAGTAATTACGTAGAACGTATTAGAATGTTATGAACAAAAATACAATAGAATACAAAATCACTTCCACAAAATTCATCTCTTAAACAGAATAAAATCACTTATTTAATTCTTTACTTTTTTATTTTTAACAAATTTCACAAAAAGGTTTTCAGAAGAGGATAGGTAAGAAAAATGCAAAAGTAGTAGATACTTCAAATCGACACAAACGTTAAATTTCAACAGCTTCGATTATTTTGAAAATCGCAGCAAATTTAGCTAATACGAAGATGTAATGCGAAATAAGGATCCTCGAGTACTCTGAAATCGATTTTAAATCCCTGGGAACATGAACAAAATTTTTTTGTTCCTCAGTGTTATTTTTGTAATAAATACAGTAAATGTTCAATTTACTGCCTGTGTCCTTAATATGGTCATTGTATTTATTTTACTTCATAAAAACGTAATGTATAAAAAATGTTGATTATTAAATTGTATCTCTGATTTATATGAAAACAAAGAAATACATGTACTTGTATGTACATGGTATTTAAAAATTAATGTTGAAAAGTGAAACTGTAGTTTGAGCGATGAAAACGCGACTACGTAACTAGGAAGTGATGGCGAAATGATAAATTAAAGAAAAAGCCATAATTGAAAATGAAGAAATTATTTAATTTATAAATTTATTTCCAGAAGTGTGTCGTGTTTATGGATTGATCGAAACAGATAGGCGTTTATTGTCGGTAGTTCTAGTGTTAAATAAGTTACGCCTATAACCATTGAATAAATTTTGTCTTATTATGCGCGTATTGGTAAACAAAAAGAATCGTCTGTCTCACCTGTATCCGTCGTAATCCACGATACAGAGGATTTCCGGATAAATCACGTACGGCGCTTCCCTTTTCGGTCTATTGCCGATCGAGCGTTTCGATCTATACCTTTTCGCTAAATGATCGGGCTCCATCAGCGCTGAAAATTGATGTTGTTTATTCCAAAAAACGCTTTTACGTTCGACGAATCTTTCGTTAGAAGATTTTCACAATCAGTATGCGGTAATACCGGGTGATTTACGAGAAATAGAGCATTTAAATATCTCCGTTAAGATTGAAGATAGAAAACAATGTTAAAGGGGAAAGTGTACTGTTCGTAGAGGCAAATATGATAATATACAAATTTTTCTGATTTTTGTTGTCTTCAGGTCTTGTAAAGGTCATCGATGGTTTTTTAAACGGTGCCATATATGTATTTTTAACTTCATAGTATAGTAGCTGATGTTATGAAGAATTCACCAATGTGGTATACCTATTATGATCTTCAAGTGACCTTGAACTCATAAATACGTGTAGTTTGACTGCTCCGTTTGATCAACGGAAATTTAGTTTCTTAAGCCCCCTCATAACCAGTTGTGCACAAGTTTCGAGTAAATTGCCAGAAAATAATGACAAAGTTTCTCTAAAAATGTACATAAACATGATTGTGAACAAACAACAGGTACGAATGTCTAGTCTGCCATTGTCATCGAATTACTGCGGTAACGTATCAGTTTATCGATATAACGTTTAACGATGCGTTACTCGAAGAATGAGAAGATCGATCATATTTCCATTTATCACTTACAGGGGGAGACTCCTTTGGGCCAACTCCGAATCGATCGAACCGCTGATGTAAACAATCAGACGCTAGCGAAAACACATAATCGATCATTGGGACCGGCTTGATGATACGACATCTAACGGCAGTACGTACAAATACATTTTGTTCCCAGTTTCCATGAAGTTGGGTTTGTGTATCTGCTACGCGAAGGCACTGTTGCTGGATAGTATCGATTTTTTTTACGCTGTTGCCTCATGTCCCGTACATATCACAATTCTGCCCATCAGGAGAATGATGGAATACCTACGGCCTACGACTCGTGGCGAGATTTGGACTCTCGCCAAACGTAGGAAAAGAAGACCGAAGAGATTCGACAATGAAACAATATTACGTAGTAATATGTGCAACGATAAATCTTTTCTATTCGTACTTGCAATGATACTTATTTTTTTAATCAATGGAATTACATGCGAGATACTTGAAATGGTATTCCCGAGAAACAAATTATAAAAATGGCACAATATATATTCCGGGTATTCCATATACAAAAAACATGGAATACTATACAAATCTGCTGTTTGAAATGCTGTTTATTTATCTTCTATTGACATAATTCATATGAGCATTATATGCGTACATATATATTTCGTAAAAAGAAGTATTTATGTAATGGATAAAGATGCTTCTTTGATTTCAGATGCAAATATTTCCTCGTTTCTAGAAAAAGCCATTATTTTATCCCAAACGCGTTTCCGGAAAAGTTCAATTCTCCATCTCGGACAAGTCGGACAGCAAGCGGCGCGGATATTTTTTACTCTTTAAGAGTTGTACTATCATATAGACTAGAAATGAAATGAATTTTTCAAATTAAATAACCGAATAATAGCTCCAAAGAATAGGTAACTTTTTTTCTTGTAAACAATTTGAGTAACGTCTTCACATTTTATTGTATCGAATTGCCGTATAGACTATTCGACAACTGCCTATTTGCTTACAAATTTTAAAACAAAATGTTTCACTCTACGTTAATTAGGAGTAGAAATAATTTTTCTTCAAGTCGTTTGGTCCAATTTTTAAAAAAGAGCGTGTATTCGCTTTTGCTCCTTGCTGTATGTATTTTCATTTGATGCAAACACACAACTTCGATGAAGATTTGAAGTACGGTATATGTGTGTTGTGAGAAAGAAAGAAGTGCGTAGTAGAACAGATGCGGGCGTAGCGAGGATAATACGCTAAGTACGCATGCGACAGCAATCAGTTAGTTCAAAATTTATCTCCGCTAGGCGAAGAATGAAAGATTGACAGAGCGTATACGATTAATTGTGTTCTTTTTGCGTCCTTTTTATGAAATATGTGTGTAAGTACATAACACCTGCGTCAATTATGTCAATAAATGATAAATAAATATTATTTCGCGAGAATACCATTTCAAGTATTTCATATGTAATGTCATTAATTAAAAAAAATAAGCATCATTAGATAGGTTCATCCTTGCACACATTAGTACGTATTGTTTAATTCTCGGATGTCTTTCCCTCGCGCCGTTCTTTTCCTGCGTTCGGCGAGAATCGAAATCTCGCCATGAGCCGTAGGTATTCCATTGATCTCCTGATGGCAGAATTGTAATAGGGAACATGTGGCAACAGACTCCTTCTGTTTTATCGATGCTCGTGGTAACATGGCCAAAGTGGCTGACAAGTACCATAAGCGCGTCTAGCGGAGAATCCTTGAACTATACCACTGTTTATTTCGGAGTCTGAACGCGTCAAATCGTAGAAACCAAAATGTGACTTCCAGAAGTGATAAAGTGACACAAATCGAATTTCCACGATAGTATGATAGTGGTGTGGAGGGTGGCCTGCTCTACTTTTAACGAGAAAACCATTAAATCGTGTGATATTACATAAGATGTGACTTGAGCAGCCATCTTGTGTTTTCATCGGCGTCTGTCACAATCGCACACTTTCTAAAATTCTAATTCTTTCAATTCTACGTGTTTTTTGGTGTTTATACGGACCAGACCACTCTGTAGTGAAGTGTATCCGTGAGTTACATACCCGTGAAAAGTTCATTTGTGCAATTATCGAGGCACATTTTCGTTTCTACGAAATCGAATGTCTCTCTCGTGCATCGCGTATACATACACGGTTCCCGTTGCTTGTGTGAGCGCACGGACACAGCTCACGGGCCACGAAGTCTCCCCCCTTAAGTTGTCAATTTCTTCGAGAAGCTGTTCTGCTTTACAAAGACCGATTTTCTGGTCGTAGTTGTCCACATCTTTCTAGGAATTTTTTTTGTCCAAGGTCATTTGAAAGTCGTTGTATATCACATCGTTGAACTCGTCTTGACATCAGCTACTAGACTATGAAGTTACAAATATATACTACTATTTAAAAAACACATCGATGAACCTCAAAAGACCTTGAAGACAATAACAATCAAGAAATTTGTTATATTACCATATTTTCCTTCTTGAACAGTACAATCTTTCTCTCGAACATTTTCTTCCATCTTCAATCGTAACGGAAATATTCAGGTGTTCTTTTTCTCGTGAATCACCCGAGATGCGTAAAGATCAACGGGTACTCACTGAAATCACTGTACTCGTCGTAACTGGATCCAGGTATTTTCTTAAAGACCACGTGATGACAGGTGTGTTTCAACTTTTCTTTACTTCGCGTCACGTTCGGTAACAACTCGGCCCGGTGAAGAGACGTAGTCCTGCGGACCACATCGTGCAGTACTCGATGCGGCAGCGGTTTGATCACCAATTCTGAGCCGATGTTGCCATTCTGTTGGGAAACAGGTTTTCTTAACATTTTCAAAACTTTGCATGCTTGGCATTTCAACAGGAAAAACACTTTCACATTGTGGATTCTACATGTCAAACTGTAAAATGAAAACCACGAATGACGAAATTGCTTTCGAAGCTTCAGTTGTGAGTTTTCTTAGAAACAGGAGAACAGATTACTTTTATGCAAGAAAAATTTTAATATGGGTATATCAAGAGCTTATTTGTATTACACATCGATTTTGAACCCTGGAACGTCAGCCTAGGGTTATTGGCGACCCCGCAAAATTTGAATCTTCTCAAACAGACGTGAAAATAGACATTACAACAATCAACTATTCTTTACCTTTCCTTTATTTTGTTTTTTTAACAGAAATTATACCATGCAGCTATTATTTCCTAAGGTGTTTAAAGAAAAATTAAAGAAGAATAGTTCGGAAATATTAAATAGTATTTTAAATATTAAGATTTTATTTTGGGTCGCCCGCGCGCCCACAGTGTTACTGACGCAAAAAAAAAGAAGGGTGTTGTTCTAGGGTTAGAAAGGTTAAAGTTATAGTCCTAGTAACATTGATGGTTGGCCAACGGTGGCCAACGGTTGGGAGTTCATTGGGATATGGTTAGTATTTTTGCCTACAAATTCCTAACATAGGGCCAACGACGAAAAGTTATGACAATTTGCCAACGAATAGTCAACGTTGGGCCTACAATTATCACCGATGGTTAAATATTTAAAACATTTAAATATCGTCTTAAAGGCGTCAGAAACATTGTTACAATCAAAAACTTGTTATTATATTCCAAATTGATTTTTTTGTTTTCTTATTCATATATATGTACAGGGTGGGGCAATAACTATGTCCACTTTGAGTATTGTCGTTATTTGTAACAATATGAAAAGTGATATATACAAAACTTACACGGTACAGAGGGGGGCATATTGTGAAATTTCAAGATCATCTCTATTTTTTTTAATGGAATCCTATGTTTTTTTTACCGCGATGTGATAGTCGGTGTTGAGACGACTTCAGCGAGCTATCATTGAAGGTCATGCAAGGTCAAATGTGGTAGTAAAATAAACTTTCTTGATAACTGGATGTATCTTTTTGAACAGAAATAAAGTTGTTTACAGAAGTTTAAACGACAAAGAATTACTTTTGATGTGAAAAAATCTTCAAATTGTCGGAACTCCTCGACTTGCGGCGCAACAACTAAAGCGCTTGCAAACTAACTTTTGTAACCCTTCTCACAGATTACGTATAAGCTAGTGTTGTCTATTTTGCAGAAAAAATCCACGAAACTTTAAAATTGGATATAGTACCGCGGTACAACCACGTCCGAGGTACAACAGATTCCCCCAGTTCTAATTTACTTTATTGGATCTCTACTAGAGATATATTTTTACAACAGTAAAATTATACAAAGAATTTCCAAGGATAAAAACATGGCGAAATATTAAACCTTACAGTTTGTACTTATTTGGGTGTTGAATAGGTAAGTATACCAAAACTTTTGGCTGGGAGTGTATGATTACCCCCTTTAACCTCAGTCCCATTAATTGCTTTGTACTTACGCATGTTCGATAATGAATCGCGGTACGTATGGTGGAAATTATTAATAGAAGTCGTTATGGTTGATGAAAGCACAGCTCACAATAATGGGGGGAATGGCGAAAGGAGCATTAAGAAAGAATGGTTTCTTACAACAAGCACTTTCCCATTTGCGTCCCGGTGCAGTAGAATGGACGCCATGTTCGTCGTGTCTTGATAGATGTCACCGATATCTGTGTCGGCCTGAAAGAGGAAGGAACAATTATAACAACTCCGCACAGTGCAGGCTGTACGTACGTGTGTACATACATAAAAGCAAGCCGATTTTTTCGTCGTTCAGACGTTATAAAGGAGTAATGCAAACCTTTGGCCCATAATCGTAAAAATCGTCTTGTCGCGACAGACCTGTTTTCCTGTCATCGTCAGTCGTGTTTGGTGAAGCGTACCAAGGATTGATGGAATGAAAAAAAAAACGATGGGACCCGATGGATTACGCGAACGGTGATTCAAGAGAGTATTAGGTTGTTGTAAACAGAGAGCGATTGATTCCGTGATGACAAATGGTTCGAGACTAATTCTTGAACAAATTTTATTGGATGAACTACGTTCCGACGGATGCTATAAACTTTTAGCTGATGAAAATTTTTAAATCTATTTATATCAGTATTATCAATTTTTGGGAATGATTCCTTAAGTTCTGTAGTGATACGTAGTAAAGTCCAAAAATCTTCGCCTTTCCCTATTTTGAGCATACGTGGAAAAATATGAATTGGCGAGGATATGAAGCTAATATTAAAGACACCAATGCCATTTGTTTCATTCTTATGCGTTCAGTCTTTGATTTGCAGTGTAAATGTAACCTGTTCGCGTTACGTCGAATCTACGATAAAAGAAGATATGTAGTACGTCAATGAAAATTCACACACCCCTTCGTAATATATATAGCGATGCTTCGCCTAAATATTCAACTGTAAAACAATAGGTAATGTTATTTAAAATGGGAAGAGAATCTCTGGAAGACAATCCACACGGCGCGGCGGTCGCCCCATCCAAAACATATTTTGGGATTGCGATGGCATATTGCTGATCAATTTCAAAGTAAAAAATATGACGGTAAATGCAGAATACTATGCCAACTTAATTCAGAAACTCTATGCTGCTATTAAAGAGAAAAGGAGGGGTAAACTTTTAAAAGGAATGCGTCTCTTTCACAACAACGCATCTGTTAACGCTACTTACGTAGTGAAGAGTGTTATAAAAAAAATTCCGAAATTCCTCACCCACCGTACCTACAGTTCCAAATGGTTGCTAGCAATTATTATTTATTTTCAAAATGGAAATCTAATCTTCGCGAATGGAAGTTTAACTGCAATGCATAAGTACAGGAAGCTGTTTTGAAGTGTTTTGCAGACAAAGACAAAAATTATTCTTCTGAGGGTATAAATATGTTAATTTTCCGTTATAACAAATGTAGTGAAAAAATAAGTACGTATATACAGTGGCGAACGAAATAATGGTTAAAGGATAAATAATACGAAAAAAAAACACTATAATTTTTCAAAAAAAGGAACTATGTAGTGGTGATGAGTTTTTCATATACAGGGTGTCATTTAAGTGTTAGTTCAATCGGATATTGGGTGATTGTACGTGAAAAAATAAGTTTTCGAGAAAATCGCCTTTGAAAATCTGTCGGATGTGTGTGCATTTAAAGATGACTTTGTTAGCGCGACTGTTCATTACATTCCATTTCTACTTAGGACCCTGACGAATACACGTGTTTCAGATTAGTGTTCAAAATAGATTTGCTTGAACACAAAGAAGTCTCGAATGACAAAATTTAATTCTATATTTTCGATTTATTTTTTTCAGAAGAATCACCCCGTATCTGGTCGTGCCACTGGTTATATGACACCCTGTGTATGTTGATACATAATAATTATAAAGTAATAAAAAACAACAAAATCATGCATAAGAATGAAAAAGAGTGTGGTTTATTTAAAATAATGCAACAGGGGAAGAAACTAGCTAGACAAAAAGACACAAGTTTCTATGATTATGTTTTCTATGTTTGCACACGTATTGTTGATCACATTTTATACATATACAGAGTGTCTCAGCTAACTTGATCACCTCGAATAATATCTTAGCGGTACACTTTATAAAAATGTTGAGGCATCGAACTTAAATCGCATCAAGGGGTACATCTTATAAGGTACCTTTTCTTCTTTTGTGGGTGGAGGCATTTCAGACATTCGAAGGTCACCTTGATGTTTTTAACAGAATGACCTATTTTTTGTACCATAGATCGATAGAGCATCAAATTCTGAGTAAAAATGTGTCCTTATCCTGTCATTATGGTTGTATAGAGATACTTCCCATTACATAATATGTTACGAAAAAAGACAACATACTAATCATAACGGTAAAATTAATTTACTGATTGCCCGGTCGTAGATCGTACCGGCCAACTTGATTGTGGAGTCACCTACAACTTTTCAGTCATTAAATTACAGGAGAAATCTTAAGGGGGTACACAGGTAGTAGACGGCTAAAATGGATGGTTTCTTTGGAGTTAGATTTTAGGACGACTAATAACTCAAACCATTTGCTCCTTCACCAATTCTTACATAGAAACGTGTATTTTAAAATAAGTATAAGATGTGTATTTCGAAATAAGAAAATACACAACCGTGTATTTTAAAATAGGAAAATTCGCAATATATTAATAATTAATTAAACCGCGAGACATCATAGTGAATGCTTACGTAGCGCGCGCGGCGATGTGGTGGACACGATTCCTATTGAACGACTCATCTAAAAGCAAAATCGTTGTAAGTGAGTATTTTGTAATTCAAAATCTACGAAGTGGAACTGACTCATTAAAATCGCATAACAATAAACAATTTTATTAAATATTTCCCACAGAATATTTCATGAAAATCGTTCAAACTTGGTATTTGTTGTATAACTCCACGGATTTTACATGAGTCGTTTAATGGGAATCGTGTTCACCACATTTCTTGTTTTAAAATATATGTTACATCCCTATGAAAGAATTGTTAAAAGAGCAAATGGTTCGAGTTATTACTTGCTCTACAATCTAACTCAAAAGAAACCGTTCATTTTAGCTGTCTAATATTTATGTACCCCGTTAAATCGGATAGGGCTGGTTTAAGAATTACATGTTAATTCTAAAAGTAATCACAACTCGGAACAGTTGTACGCCACCGTTAACTCTTGCATACGCATCCCATTGGAGGGTTAAAAAAAAACTGGTGAAAAATTTTATATGATATATTCCGTCCTACTGGTGTCATGATGTTTGCTGAACATTAACCGAATCCCCTTCAGCCCACTCGATAGGGCTGCCCTAAACATTGCCTGGTGCCAACGGTGGGCGCCCGTGCCTGCGAAACGCTAGGCTGACCAGCACTGACATAGGCGTACGATGAAGTGTTTAGTAAAATCGAAAAACATGCGATCTTCTTTAACACTTACGCCTGTCACCTTCTCGTAGTGGAGGCCGTCAGGTTGCGACGCATTCTTCATGACAGTCCACATCGGCAAGCGGTTCGCTGTCAGCAACCCTTCCGTTTGCTTCAGTGACAGACTGATGTCCTTCCCAAATGCTTTCAGGTGTATCTCCGGCTGCTCCGTGCTCCTCTTGTGCGCCGAATGTAGCACAGGCACGATTTCGTACGTCGGTACTGAAATTAAAATGCAACATGATCGCCCGTAAAGCGGCTATTGGTGTTTTCTTTTAAGAACATGTTCGCTGTGTAGATGTCATGTCATTTGATGTATTTGATATGAAGTATACGATGCGTTGTCGTTAACAATTAGGTGTTCACTGACAGTCTAATGATTCAATTGGTAGGGCAAAAGACCCATTTACTGTCACCTACGGAATTACTGTCATCTTAGACTGTTCTACTTAAAATAACAAATAAACGTTATAAAATTATACATAAAGAAAATTCTGCGTGCAATTAAAACTGTAATTCATACGATTGAAAAAACAGCACTTAATTTCCTTTTTCCATTAATTCTTGTAAAATTATTAAAAATTTTTAGTTCATTGGAAGAGTAAAAACAACGACTTACTTACTAGCGAAAAGGGAAAACAAGGTACTAAAGGAAAGACTATAGTTGGAATATTTGACCTAGTAACATAATAAAATCTAATGTTTTAGATAATATGAAGATCATAGAAAATAATGTCGATCATAATTCAACGAATCGTTAAGTTTTTTAGTTTAATATTTGGATAACAGTGATTGGTACGAGTCTTTTAATAATTTTTAATTACTGTCATGTCAGTAATTGCTTACGAGAACAAAGCTTTATGCTATTAATGTCACCAAGACGGTCTGCAGTCACGTGCATCCTAACCTAAAAAAATGACAGCATTTAGGTACATGAGGTGACAGTATTTTATTTAGGTGGTAGTAATTAGGATATCAGTAATTCGATCGAAGACGTTTTATGGGTGATAGTAATAATTTTCGAGATATATTTTTGTTGAATGTCAACAAAAGATTTAGTGTTATAAGGTTATAGCTTGTATAAGTTGGTAGAACGTTAAATGGGGCTTTTTTGTTATTAACCGCCGGTGTGCGTTGTTCAGTTGTTTCTGAGGCTTCTTCTTGCTGTCATGTAAAGCGTAACCAGTTTCTTTGTGTGTTCTTTTGTAGTCAGTATTTGGTGTGTAAAAATAAAGTTAAAGTTTCCATAAACCTTGCATAGCCCACTTATTTAAATAATAGCAATTTTTGAAACTAACGAATTTATAAACAAAAGTTGAGTTTCAGAAAGTCATAACAAATTTTCCCAGATTTGCCATCATGTACAGCTAGTCGTACATGGTTGTTAAAATTAAAAAAGCATATGGTACTGAATCGCGAAAAATTACAAAGTTCATTTTAACACTAAACATACCATAACGGGTCAAATGACCCATTTTGAACTTTTGCATTGAAAATGCACGTATAATTTTATTGCGTTTGCACATTTGACTTCATGACTTTTTCTAAGTAATTAATGTACAGTTATAAAAAGTTTTTTTTTTTTGTTTTGTTTTGTTTATTCTGAGTAATCCTTGTTGTATACCGATATCTACCACAACGGGTCATTTGACCCGGAGAGAATTTTTTTGTTTTATGAGATTATCTAGTCATATTTGTAGTCAGTAAGTTGCACATTCTTCCAAAGACTGTTGCGTAAAGTAGTTCAACGAAAATAGCTCAGAATAATTTCAAGAAAATATCAAATTTTAGATTGAAAATAGCTTTTTAGTGTAAGAAAAAGTGGCAAAAATTGAAAGTCTTGGTAAGTACCTAGCTTATATTTTATTTTGATAGCTATAGTAATACAGATCATTTTTTACCCAGAAAAAATGTCGAAGCAAACAAGACAGTACAAGTTGTGTGATTTTCATCGAAAATTTTTACAACAGATAATTGTACTCTTACAATCTATAAAAGTAAGCCAACAAAAAAAGTACTTTTACTTAGTTCTAAACATAAATTCGTTAAAGTAGAAAACAATGATAAACGTTTACCTGAAACTGTTTCATATTACAATAAAACCAAATTTGGTGTAGACATGACCGATCAAATGGCGAGGAAATTTACTACAAAATCTAAGTCTTGCAGATGGCCTCTCCAAGTTTTTTTCAATATCCTTGATTTAGCTGGCATAAATGCCTGGATTTTGTACAAGCAAACGACAGGAGAAAATATCTCGAGACAAGATTTTTTACTCAAGCTAGCAGAAGAACTTGGCGCCGATTTTCGAGAAGCCCGTGAACAACCAAAACAAGAAACAAATACGAAAGGATCGTTGCCTAAGTCTACTACAGATGCTTATAAACGTATGAGATGTCAAATAGGATACTGTAAAGAAAATAAAACCAACAAAATTTGCTCTAAATGTAAAAAATATGTTTGCGGAAAATGTACAATGGAAACACTTATATGTAAAAAATGCGTTGAACTATGAATTAAAAATTTTTATTTTTTGCTTTTGTAATAGAAATGCTCAACATACTATTTTGTTTAATTATAATAAATTTAATTTATATTTTTATTTCCTTCCTAACATCCATATTTCATACATTCAAGCATGAAACATAAAGTCGGGTCATTTGACCCGCTATGGTAGAAATAGGTATATATTAAGTCTTGGTATGATTAGTGTTAAGGTCCAATGCTGATAGAGAAAACGAACAGAGTTGAAGTTTACACAACTTTTTGGAGCGTGTTAAATCGTATATCGATTATTACGGATTTGAGAATTTGTACAATTCGGATCAAAGTGATTTCAACCTGGAATTACATTCTGGACGAACTTTGGCAATGCAAAGTTCGAAGAAAGTAGAAACTGTTATACAATCATTTCCATCCACAACTCACAATTACACTATACAACCCACTATCCTTGCAAGTGGAAAACTACTGTCTCCTCTTTTCGTCATGTTAAAAGAAGCATTTGGAGAATTTGGACCTTGGGTACAGCAGACTATGTTCAAGGTAGCGAACATTTTTGCTACAGCGTCAACATCTGGAAAACTTACAAACTAACATTTTAAAACTTAATTAAAGGAAGTTAACTTTCATAACACAAACGATAAGACTGTTTTATTATCAGATTCTTGGAGTGGTCATTGTAGTCATAGTATTGAAGAGGCTACACCAGAAAATAAAGAAATAGCAGCATTTACGATTCCAGCAGGAACTACAAAACATTTACAACCATTAGACGTGTACGGATTTCGCATGTGGAACAATTTTGTTTCGCCGCTTTTCAGACATAGTCCTTTTATTGCATTATGACATTAATTTCCACGCGAGAGACAATATTTTAAACCTTCAGTGACTGGTCCATGATCAGTTTTCTTCGCCGCGATTTGAAAATTTTATTCAGTATTCGTGGTATAAAAGCGGATACATGTCAGTGAAACCTCCTCGTTTTGAAAATCACGTAGAATTCTGCTATACGCCGGATAATGAGCCACAATGCCATATATGTGGTGATGTAGCTATTATTACTTGTGCTTGGTGCCGAAAGCCACTATGTTTGAAGCATTTCATCAACGATTATCGTTATTGTCATGACTATGTTTCTTAAGTTATTCGAATTACTCGTTCCGCGTTAAAATTGTCAATTTAATCCATCTGCTCTGGAGTGCGTATAGCTGTAACTGTTTTATAAGATGCAATACAAATTTAATAAAGTTAACTATTATATATTGCAAAAATAATTGTTTTTCAATTACACGTATAAATAACGTTGGCTGATAATGCAATATCGTCCGATACGACTCGATTTAGTATCGCGAGGTGACTCAAGGGGCATGATCTTGCGCACGGCAGGGGACATAAATAATCAAAATCTGCGAAACTGTAGGAGGCAATTTGAAAAACAAATATATCAATGAATTTGGAATAAAATGCTCGTTACTTTTTGTTATTATGTAAATTTGAATAAGTTGTAAAATAAAGTTGTAAAAAATTTTTTTGTTACAAACAAATTATACTTTGGACAATTTGTTAGCATCATATTATTTTACATAAAAAAACCGCAAACCTCGTCCGTTAAAAGTTTTCACGTATCTCCTTTGGTTTTCGAGATAGTACTTTCGGGTCGAAACTTCGAGGGGTGGTTTCACCCCTTAATGTCACGTCTCAGCCGATAAAAAAAAAATACGTATCCCTTATTTTTGACTACTTAACAGACATATGAAGTTTCATCAAAATCGGAGGAGGACACTTCCGTGCCGTTCCTTATAAGTATAACTAGAATAAACCATTTTTTAAAGATCTTTGTTTCATTTTATGAAAATAAAAATTAAAAAATATTTTTTGTTACGAGTCCGGGCCGTAGCAATGTGAGAGACCGGCGAGTGTAGGTGTTCATCGTAATATTTTCTGAAGGAAATGAATAAAAGTATTACTGTATGATGTGTGTGACGTAACGTCACTAGAGCGGCCCGCCGCACAGTCGTTCCAAACGCCTGAATTGCGGCCAAAACTCGGTTTTTTCAATATTTTGTTTTGACAAAGGTTGATGAAAACTTTAGTAGAAAAATACTTGGGGATATTTATTTTGAAAAGATTTTTCTTCTGTCTTTTTTTTGCGTGAAATTTTAACTGAAAGTTAGCAATAGCGGAAAACTTAAAACAGACGAACTTTGGACACATCATAATATTTAAAATATAACTCTACAATGGTTGAAAATTTGGAGTATCTACCGAGTTTACCACAAACAAAAACGTCTAAAATATCAATTTAATGTATAATTATAGAACCTGATAGCGGTCAAAAATATTGGAGGCAGTTAAAAGCGTGACCTGTTGTCTTTACGTTTTTATTTTTATTTCTTGCTAAATAAAGCTTTTCCAAATCTTCCAGAACTAGTGCTTTTTAATTTGGAGTGTAAGTAAGAATGTAATAAACAAATTCAGAAAGGAATTAGGTGCGATCATCTACGATTTCGGCGTCAATCCGCTTTTACTTTATAGGCGACAGCGGCTGCAGCGGCTGAGGTGGCTGCAGCGCGCAGCGCATAACAATCTGTTTGCCATTTTATTAAGGAATATGAATATTTTTTATGCCTTCAACAGTACACAAAATTTTAGTTCACGGAAAAGACGTTTTAAACTCTACTAGTCTGCTGATTGGTCAGATGTCGGAAGAAGCCCAGAAATGTAGAAACAAAGATTTCAAAAGATTTCGGCAATTTAACACAAGAAAATGTTCGAGGTATATAACAAATGAATACTTGATGCATAACTTGCTAATATCATCAGATCCTTTTATTTCCAATTTGACATCGCAATGGTCAACTCCATCTGTCGAACTTGAAAAAGGCACAAAAAATCTTTCATCAAATTGTAACCATGCAGAAGACACGGAAGATGTAGAAAACATGGAAGAAGGCTAACGTATTCTTAATAAAATTTGCATTATTTGATCATATTTATTTTTTATGTTATCTCGATTTAATTTTTTATAAAATTTCTCGAAATATTTTGTTCGTAAAATTAATTAAATTATATTAATTCTTGAATAAATTCCATAATTTACGACTAAATATATATTTTTCTTTCGTGTTTTTAGAATTTGTTGTTTTTAGTTTACTATATTTATCTGAAATTACATAAATAGTAATAATCTTAAATTATATGTATACAGGATGTTTCCTTTAAATGGAAACGGTGGAAGATCTCACGAAGGATTAAAATTTATAAAAAAATGTTCATACAAAAGTTGTTTGGTACAAAGGGGGACATTACGTGGTATAAATAATTTTTCTATAAGTGTAGTAGTGGGGGAGATATCAAAGTCAAGTTAATTTTTTTAAATGGAACCCTGTATTTTTTTATTTATATTATAATAGTGTTTCTTGAGACGAATACAATGAACTGCCACATGATATCATTCCGAGTTGTAAAATATCATAAATTAAATAGAAAGTAGTCAGATCAACACGGATTGTGTGTCGTAAGTCAGCTGAACTGTACGTGACTGTGCCATCTACTCGTACCAGACCGATTGTTCCGTTTTTAATAAAACATTCATGGTATGGAACAACACCAATATTGTAGCAAATATGAGGAGTTAAGCATAAATAATGGATTTTAAATTTCACTTACCACTATGTAACTTGTAGTATCAAGAATTAATTAATAATTTTTTACGTCATTTATTCTTCAACATGCCCACCATCGTTACAAATATACGTTTCTATTCTGTTTAAAAATTCTCTTTCGAGACTTTTCAACATCTTGTCCGTTATTCTTTCGCATGTGACTACAATCCTGTTTCGTAAATCATCTTAAAATCTTACTAATTTATCACTTCCTACTACAGGGAATATCATGTGGCAGTTTATTGTATTCGTCTCAAGAAACACTATCATAATATAAATAAAAAAATACAGGGATCCATTTAAAAAAATTAACTTGACTTTGATATCTCCCCCACTACTACACTTATAGAAAAATTATTTATACCACGTAATGTCCCCCTTTGTACCAAACAACTTTTGTACGAACATTTTTTCGATAACTTTAATCTTTCGTGAGATATTCCACCGTTTCCAGTTAAATGAAACACCCTGTATATGTCACACAAATGTTTAAAAAACTTGTTATTTCGGAACCAAGGTTTCAGAAATTTTTGGTTTTTCTGTAATCCCTAAAGAATATTTTCAAAGTTACTGTATGATATTTTAGCAAATTTAATTCCCGACAAAACGAGCAAAAAAAGATAAAAATTTGTTGAGAATTCACTGAGTTACGGAATTGAATCCCCCAAAAGTTACTTCGGAACCACCGTGCACCGTAACAGGGAGTAGGTGAGGAGATCACGGAAGCACGGCGGCCGAGACCACCGGTGCCGCCGTCCGCCGCAAGATGGCCACGCGCCGTGAGTCGCTTCTCGCTCGCGAAGTAGCCCGTTACGGGCGATAAGAGCCACGAACCGCGGCAGATAGGCAGTGATTCCTGAAGTTCGAGTCTTGACTCCGTAAGCAGACTCTTTTCGTCCGAGTCGACAGACTTCGGTCTGTAGTACGCACAGTCACACTCGACTTCCGCTCAGCTTTCGGTCTGCCATATCATCCGCTCCGCTGCCGCAGGGTCTGGGCATTCGCTCAGTAACACCCGACCTCCGCTCAAACTTCGGTGTGCCATAGCATCCGTTCCGTTGCCGGGTCTGTGCTTTCACGTAATCATACCCGTCCTCCGCTTAGGCTTCGGTCTGTTACAGCATCCGTTCCCCTCCTCGGTCTGTGCTTTCGCGCAGTCATACTCATCCTCCGCTCAGGCTTCGGTTTACCATAGCATCCGTTCCGCTACTGGGCCTGTGCATTCGTTCGGTCATACCCATCCTCCGCGCTCAGGCTTTGGTCTGCTATAGCATCAGTTTCGCTGCCGGATGGGTCTGTGCTTTCGCTCAGACGTGTACCCATTCTGCGCTGAGGCCTCGCTCTACCATAGCGTCCGTTTCGCTGCTGGGTCTGGGTATTCGCTCAGTCATACCCGTTCTCCGCTCGAACTACGGTCCGTCATAGCTACCAATTACCTACCGGGTCCGGGCCCTCTTCCGAGCCACCACCGTAAAGCGGCTCGGACTCCGTGTGCGGCAGCCGCACAAGAACCGTTCGACCGCGCCTCCATGAGGCATCACCGTCCGGACCTCGGGAAGCCCTGTGTCACGGGGAAACCTCGCGGATGCCGCGCCGATGAGACTGCCGTACCGATAACCGACTCGCCGCCGCCAAAATCTACCAGTCAACCGCATCATCGTCCGACAACACTGCTGTACACATGTTGAATAAATCTGTATTTACCACCGAGAACCTCACTTGTCCAGTTCTTTCAACAACACTGGCATAGCGACTGAGTCGGCATCCCACTCTTCTCGCCTTACCGGCAACGTCCGTTGCATGTATTAACATTGTAAAAAGTATGTATAAGAAGCAACCAGATTTAATTTGATTGTTCTCATGGTTGCTAAACAATGTATTAGGGCCACCATAAAATATTAAATATAAATCGATTTTATCTTCTGAAGACAGATGCCGTCAACCGCGAGAAATTATATTTTTTAACACTAATTACCAGACTCGTGTCCCGTTTGAAACACCGATAACATCTCTTCCCTTGTCATGTGTTCGTGGATCTGCAACAAACAAGAAATTCACCATAAGCTCTCACACTTCAGATGGGAGACCATTTTTGTACGCAGTTTCTTATGTACAAGACGAACTAATTTTTCGTATGTCAAAAGAATTAATTTACTTTTGTTCAATTAACTAAGAATTAATATCATGTTCAAGTTAATATATAATTTTTAGTAATATTATTAATTCAATATTATTAGTTCAAATTAATATATAATTTTTAGTAATATTATTAATTCTTAGTAATAATATTTGTTGAATTTGTATTGTATTAATCCTGATATGCACAACATTTTTATTTCAAAGTAGAACTTTTTTCTTCATAGCATTATTCTGTTTAATATCCTTTACAATATTCTATAAGAAATTATCGAAATTTTTAGTGTGCTTGTAGTAATTTTTAAGTAGTTTTTAGTAAGCAGTGCCACTTAAAACTGTGCAACTTGAAAAACAAAGAAACACCCACCTGTTTATGTGTTTATATAGCAGGACCATCGGCATAGTTGGGTTAATAAATGGAATTAGCCAAGCGTGAAGAAATGACTAATTAAAGCAGAAACAATAAATGGCGTACTCGACTGACACGAAACCATTATGCAAAGATATTATGAAACACCACTTTACAACCTGTAGATTTTTTGTTTTCTGGGAGTATAATTTTTTCATTTATCGATCACTATGTGATTTTTCAAATTTTAACTTTGTACTGCTATTTAAGGCTATTGTGGGGTCGCTGCTTCGTGGATTTGATGAACTCTTGGTCTTAAGGAGTGCGTGCCGATGTTATCGGTGTGAATGAGCGTGTGCGTGAGGAGGTCGGTTTTCGGGGATGGAGATGCGGGGGAAGGGACTGTGAATCGAGAGAGCGAGGAGTGTCGTGTGAAAAGTCGTGTGAGAATTCTAGGGAGCGAGTTTGGAAAGCGAGTGAGCAAGTGTATTGTGTGACTTTGTTTTTTTTTCCTTTTCTTTCATTATTAAATATTCTTGTTTTAAAAAATATCTCTATTTACTAAAAATCCCTACACTATTAATCTCGTGTCCTCTGCGTTATTGAGATATTTTCTCGGCAGACATGGTTCTTGGCCGAGAGTGACGTGTTGAAACATCGACGAAAAAGTACATAATTGCGGCCGTATCGTGAGTACAATAAAGGCCCGATGCAGACGAGCAAGTTTTGTGGCGCGTTGTCGCAGCGGGTATTACACGCTCGTCTGAATGTAAAAGTTCGGTGCACATTTTGTCACAGCGGGCCAGCGATATCCGACAGTCGATTTTCACCTGCCGCACAGTGGCGTATTTGACCCGAAAAGCTGGTCAAAACTATTTCAAAATTTACTCAATTTTCAAAATCTTATAACTTTGTTACTATTTATCCAAAGTTTTTTTTTTTTTTATTGAGCGTTTAAGGTCACATGCACCTTATAAGTTATTAGTGACCACGGTTGGGTAACTTAGTGTAGCCAATCGTATTTAGAGTAATTTATATAATTTGATATCTTTTAAGAAGTCTAGAACTCTTTTACACGAATCTATTTCTCGTAGGATCGTGAGTGAGTTTTGTAGATTGTATTGCATCCTCTTCGCATTATATTTAGGGCAAGTTGTCAAGATGTGTTCGACAGAATTTTGAACGTTGCAAGTGTCGCAGATATTTGCTTCGGTTTTTGTGATCAGATATGAATGTGTCCAGTTTGAGTGTCCTATTCTTAGTCGGGTTATTTTTACTTGATCTATTCTATTTAACAGTGACGCTGGGTTGAAGTCATTTATGCTGTTACGGACTTTGTGCAGTTTAGTTGGTCTAC